ATTGGAAGACAGGATACTGGGCTAGATGGACCTTTGGTCTGGCCCAGTATGGCCGTTATGTTCTATTGATATGTCTTCTTCTAATGGAGCCTTTTTCTGCTTGTAACACTGCCAGTGCTCATCCTAGCACAAAGCTTCTAAAACTGCTGGGCTCAGAACACTTACTTTCATGTATCCTGTGTCTGTCAGCCTTGCGATTCTGCTCTTGGCACACACATTTAAAGTGAAAGGAAGCGTGCCACTGCAGAATTTAAAAAAAAAAGGCTGAGCATTCAGTGAAATTGGCACTAGGGTTGAGAGAAAACACAGACTTCCATGGGGTAATGCTACATTTCAGAGTTTTCGTTCACCCGAGATTCCAGGCACAAGGATTCTTGGTAGCCAGCCAAGAAACTTGGATTATTGCCTACGGGTTCCTCAGCTTTTCTTGGTTTGTTTGTTTTTTTTTGCCCCCCTTTTTAAATTGCATATAACTCCAGAAAGAGATCTGGAGTTCGGATTTATTTTTAGCCATCAAGATTGACTTTCCCCACACTTGTTTTAGATTCAATGTTAGACAAACTTCAGAAAGTGTCAGAGTATTTCCCTGACGCTTCTTTTACCCTGCCTCCTGCCTTCCACTCTGCAAAGGGTTTTTGCTTTTAAAACTGCTCCTAAAACAAGCATGGGGCTGAGAAGAAAGGTTGGAGATCTTAAATCAATTCACATGAAAGCTGCACAAGAATTAAACCAGTGGGTACAGGCGGTGCAGTCCTTCCTCAGGCCAAACTCCCATCGGGTGAACTGGAAATTCTGCTTGAATAAGGACTGCAGAAGTTGTCTCTTGGGATATGACTACTACAATAAAAGCCCGGGGCACTGAGACTCCGAGCCTGGGTCAGCTGGCTTGGGCTCGCAGGGGCTAGAAAACTGCAGTGTAGAAATTCTGGTTCACGCTGGAGCTCTGAGACCGGGAACCCAAGCTGAGCCTGAGTCAGTTGACCTGAGCCAGCCATAGCCAGGCCGTGGCTCTTTTTGTATTGCTATGTAGGTGTCCCCTTAAGGTCTGTCTGCATAGCAGCTGGAAGACGAAATGCCCAGCTTGTGTAGACATACACACGCCAGCTCTGTTCAAGCTAGCACACTACAAATAGAGCGGGCAGCATGAGTGCATTCCCAAGTATAATCCCGCCCGATTCTGCGTGTGTGTACTTAGGCAGTTCTCTGCTGCAACCACACTGCCCCGCTCCTGGCCCTGGGATGTGAATAGGAGTAAGGGGGGCGCGACTGAATAGTTTAGGGGCTGCTGCCGTAGACCTTTATGGCAACACCGTAAGGATTGTGTAAGAGTCAGATTCGGGGTTCAAATCTACTTCTGCTTCTGTTGTAATTTCCCTCTGTGCATCTGGAGCTGATCTCATCTGCCACTCGGTGTTTTACCCGAGGGACTGATTCTCCGCCCCTCATACGTGTTACTAAATAAAAAGATAGAGAGAAAGGGGTGAGCCTGAGCAGAGATGGTTTGATTAAATGAGAATCTTTCTAGGCCACCTCCTCTCCACCGCTGTCCAATGGGGAGGGGATGTTAGAGCAAGGGAAGCACTGCCCCACCAGCCTACCTCCAGTCCCCTGCATAAGCCTCCATGTGAACCCTGCACTTTGGGGGTTCCATGGGCTTGGGGGAGTGAGGTGTCAGGTTGGTGAGGGGATAGCAGCTCTGTGGTTCATTTCTTCATTGCAGGAAACATAGGTGCAGCATTTCAGGTAAACGTCGGTGCATCTCTGCAGTATTTCACGCCTGACTCCGTGCTCTCACTCATTAGGCCTGTTTCAAGGCACTCTCACAAAGCTCTATGTTGTCTCCAGGTAAAACCACGTGAGTTCTCTGCTCCACACTTTCTGCTTTATCCTCCTCGCCCCAGTAAGAGGAAAGGGTGGGCAGGGAGCCAGTGGGTAGCACAGCTCCTGGGTGTGAAGAGTGCCACTCAGGAGTGCGGGAGCCAAGTGAACAATGCAAAGGGGGAGGCTTTTGTGCACGTATGGGCTTGCTAGGGACCTATGCCCTTTACCCCCTGTGTGAACTTGCGATATTCCACCCCCCACAGTGGATTGATGCAGTGAGAGCAGCTTAGAGTTTCTCCCTCCTGCAAGATTTTCCTCAGATGGGGTTGGTGGAGCTTGTGGTGCAGGTAAGGGAGATGTATTGATGGCCTCTCTTCTTGACTGTTTAGATTAGGTCCAATAAAACTTCTTGTACAATATATTCATTCCATGCAGCCTAATTGTAGGGAAAAAATGACCGAGACTGAAATCTCACAAGCATTGAAAGAATATCTGAAGGCCATCTGTAGCAGAAAATATATTTCCACATCAGGCTTTGAAATCCATTTTCCTGAGTAATAATTGAGATTCAAAAAACACCACAAGCAAAACCAAACTTCTGTTTGCTTCCAGAACTATTGGAAGTTCCACATGGATGACAAGTAGTTGAGTATTGTTTGTACACCCAGTGTATAGCATAAGGTGCGCCTCTTATTATGATGGTAGCATTTGTTTGTTGAGCTGATTACTACACATCTCAAATACGATGTTTTTCCACCCAATGAATAGTGCTGACGATAATATGGTCACAGTTATGGTACTCTGGTTAGATGGGAGTGACACTTTCTAGGCCTCTCTTTTCAGGTGCTCTCTAACTTTCTGATAAAACATCTGTGATTGGAAAAGCACCATGCTGCTTTCTTAGTTCAAAGGCAATTTATGTTCTTGGGAAAGTTGGATGAAATTCCGATGGTCCTTTTTTAAATTTATCTTCGTGTTAGGGAAGTGTGTGTGCATGCTGACACTTTTTAAAGATGTCCTCTGATACCTCAAAAGAAATTTTAAAGCTTCCAACTTTACATGGATATAGGCCTCAGTGAGGAAGGTGCTTTGATTAGACATTTAAAAGTAAGACGCATTGTGCGTGTGCAGTAGTGTGTCATTTCCCTGTTGATTCAGTATGATTTGCGAGATATACGCATCAGGTGCATGTGGATGTTGTATATACGAAGTCTAACAACTGGAAAAAGGTAGCTGATGTTTCTTCAGATAAACAAGGTGAAAAATGAGTGAAATGAAACTTTTGACAACATTGTTAGGAAATGTTTCCTGTTGTTCAGCCTAAATAGAGCCCCGAACAAAATGATGGAAGCTCCTTCCCTTAAGTAAATTAAAATGGAAAATGGCTAAGCCCAGATTTGTAAAGGCATTGCTTCTCTGTGTTGCAAGGCCTAAGTGACTTAGACAGCCGAGTCCCAGTTCCAAATGTGATTTAGGCACATAGGAGTGTAAAATGAAAATGGGACTTAGCCATGTAAGCCACTTAGGTCAGGATTCTCAAAGGTATTTAGGTGCTTAGCTCCCATTGATTTTACCTCAGTACCTTTGCGAATCTGGGCCTAGGCCTTGTAACCTTGAGCAGAGGAATGCTGGCTACCTTTAAAAGTCAGGGCCTAAGATCCACAGTGATTGCAAATATTCAGGGAGAGCCCCCCACCCAAAGGGCAGGTGGTGGCAGGGGTAGGCTGTCAGACAATCATGATCCTAGTGCTCAGTGTTAATAGGGTGACCAATTTAGCTGTGCATTTGTGACTGCCTCGGTTTGGGACATTGAAATGCCTAGAAACAAATACTCTAATAGACCAGGATCAGTAGTGGTGGTGGTGGTGGTGTTTTTTAGTGTTTTGATTATGGAGTGCCTGATTTCTGCAGGGTGGGTGCTCAGCACATTCTGGAAATCAGGCCCCTTTAAGGAGTCTAAATTTGGGCACCCTGAACTTTGGGTGCCCCAAATTACTCGTCACTTTTTGAAAGTGGCTGTAGCTGTTAATATTACACTAAACGGGAGAATACACAGGAGAGAACAATCCTGCATTGGCAGGAGGATGGACTAAATGACTTGAAAGGATTTTCCCCCCTCATTTGTAATGTATGTGCTTTGGAGAAGTGAGACAAGCATTTCCTGGTCTAGAGTTTATTTTAATCATTTGAATAAAACAGGTATGCATATATGTGGCATGTCAGAGAGTTGACTCTGCAATCTCTCTGTGTACAGTTGCTTGGAATTTTTTAAATTTAAAATAAAAAGGGAAATTCAGTATAAAACACCCTGAGTTAAATGCAGTGTTATGATTGGGAATGTAAATGCAAAACTCAGGGAATGATTAATGCCTGTAGCAGAGCTTTATTTGAAGGCATACACCTAGCAGGGAGGGGGGCAGAACAGTCAGCCTCAACACCGCAGAGCAGATGGAAGCAGCAGCAAATGCTGGAGAGGAATGGAAGAGCCTCGTTTCCACCCTGTTTGCCCACATTGGCGTGAGAGGGATGTAACTAATGCACCTAACAGCGTATAGTGTAAATGCTACAGGTGTGCAGAGGGCTGGATTATAGTTGCAGCTCTAACCATACTTTGAATTTACTAACTGAGGTTTGTTTAAATTATCAGCCGTAGCATTGTACTAAGGTAGCTTTTGCTCTGACTAGACCTATCTATGCCTAATTCTGTTCTCTCTATTGCACCAGTGTAAATCAGGAGTAACTCCATTGAAGTCTTCAATGGAGTTACTCTAGTGGGAAACCAGTATGAGTGGGATCTGATTCAGGCCCATCTGTGTCACTGGTACAGCTCTACCTCGATATAACGCTGTCCTCGGGAGCCAAAAAATCTTACCGCGTTATAGGTGAAACCGCGTTATATCGAACTTGCTTTGATCCACCGGAGTGCGCAGCCCCACCCCCCCAGAGCACTGCTTTTCCGCGTTCTATTCAAGTTCGTGTTATATCGGGTCGCGTTATATCTGGGTAGAGGTGTATGTAGAAATCAAGTGAAAAAATTCTCTAAGTTATATCTGCCTAGGGTAGGTAGAAACTGTTTGACGCTGAGCTGTCGGTGTGAAGCATAAAGACAATGTTTTGCTGTAAGATATAAATATTTAAATTATTTATTGTAATGGTTTCTCCCGCCCCCTCTTTTTCAGATATATGTTGGGGAAAGGAGGAAAGCGGAAGTTTGACGAGCATGAAGATGGGCTGGAAGGCAAAGTGGTGTCTCCTACTGACGGTCCATCTAAGGTGTCTTACACCTTACAGCGCCAGACTATCTTCAACATTTCCCTTATGAAACTTTATAACCACAGGCCATTAACAGAGCCAAGCTTGCAAAAGACAGTTTTAATTAACAACATGCTGAGGCGAATCCAGGAGGAACTCAAACAAGAAGGCAGCTTGAGGCCTGTGTTCATCACCACTTCACAGCCTACTGACCCTCTGGGTGACAGCTTTCGAGAGGCTCAGCCTGCGTTCAGTCATCTTGCCTCTCAGCCAGTTCACCCCACTGACTTAGTAAGCACTACACCATTAGAGTCTTGCCTCACCCCAGCCTCTTTGCTTGAGGATGACACTTTTTGCACTTCCCAGACTGTCCAACATGATGGTCCTACAAAACTACCACCTCCAGCTGTCCAACCGGTAAAAGACAGTTTCTCCTCGGCCTTGGACGAAATTGAGGAGCTCTGTCCAACACCTACCTCTACCGAGGCAGTAGTAGTAGCAGCAACAGAAGCAGCAGCAACAACGGATGACTCTAAAGATAACTCCAGTGAGTCTAATGTTCAAAAGTCTGAGGGAGTCCAAGAGAGCAGAACAAGTGAATCAAAACTCATGGACTCTTTACCCGGCAATTTTGAGATAACAACTTCCACAGGTTTCCTTACAGACTTGACCTTGGATGATATTCTGTTTGCTGACATTGACACATCTATGTATGATTTTGACCCTTGCACATCTGCTACAGGGGCTGCCTCAAAAATGGCTCCTGTCTCAGCAGATGATCTCCTAAAAACTCTAGCCCCCTATAGCAGTCAACCAGTAACCCCAAATCAGCCTTTCAAAATGGACCTCACAGAACTGGATCACATAATGGAGGTGCTTGTTGGGTCTTAAAGTATAACGACTTTTTATGTACCAGTATATACACTTGGTAGTATTTTCACAACCCTTCCCTCCCTCCCCGCCCCTCCAAATTCACAGCACTGTGCATGCGTCCTTGCTTGCCTTTTTTTAAAAGAAAAGGATCACACTAGTTTTTGCTTCAAGCAGAGTTGGAGTGCCTTCATCCATGTATGACCACTTTCAATGTATTTTTTTAAAGTGGTTCCTCAAGGAAGACCTAATACCCTGGTATAGGAAAGAATACATATTGTAGACAATATTACTATGATATTACGACAAAAAAATTGAATTGTAAAAGCTAAGCACAAGGATTATGTTGGGGAAAGCTGTACATTTGCATGTGCATATTTGTCTATTTTTTCTATAAGTTTTATTGCAAGAGGTAAAAAATTTATTATTTAGATAATCTCAGTACCTTTTTGGCATTTTAGCCCTGTATAGGTTGACTTAGCAATTCAGCCCTTTGGAGGCATTAACTAGTCTTCTTTAAGTGTTGCATTTACATGGCTGTTTAGAAACTGCTGCCCAAATTTATTTTATATTTTTGTACAGATTCTGCAGTTTATTATATTGTTTTTTCTAAAAACAAATGCTGTTTATACACACAAAAAATAGCTATTTTGATAGGGTTTGCTCACATAGTTCCTGCATAATTGATGTACAAGAACCACTTGTACTTTTATACAGAGTTGTAATGTTTTATATGTGTATGGTGCAAAGAGAAAAATGGATCAAATAAATCTGCAGTTAGGTCTCCCTGAATGCAAACAGTGCTTTAAGAAAGGGCTGGGGTCTGTTTCACAAATATTTACTCGCTGCTGTAGCCACCTGTGCACTACTGTGATTTGAAAACCTAGAGCCATATCGACTCCAAGACCTATGTTAAACAGTTGGCAGGAGATAATTGTGAAACTTCGTTCTAAGTGTTCTCTTGTGAGATCAAGGCTACTGAAAACCTGATCCCGAAGCCAGTATGTCAAGCAAATGTATAATCTTTTTCTTTTTAAGCAAAGTTTTTGTTTGTTTTTTTCTAAATTTGGAACAGCCAATTGTCTTTGTTACTTGAAATGTGTTACCTTTTTAGCAAGTCGGCATTTCCTTAGCTGAAGTTATTGCGAATGATTTTAATGGGAATATACACGCCATTTACAAATACATCTCTTTGTAATTTTTCTTAAAGAAGGTATACATGGTATTTATTCCAATTAATTGGTGTTCAAGATTCCACTTGCCCTTTCTTGGAGCATTCTTTCTCCCTCACTGTGTTAATAAGTGCTGAAAAATGCAACTTCAGTATTACTGCAGTGAAGCTCATCTCTTATCTGCACTGGATGGACTTATTTTAGTATCCATTGCTGTTGAAACTGGAGCCAGTCGTGTTACATCACTTGGCATCTCCTGTAGGGTTCGTTTCTTGTATCAACCGCGTTACCTGCTTTACACTTTATAGACCTGTTTTACAATGAATATACAGACACGGCTTTCTATGCATGTTTCCTTCCCCCGTAACACCTGAGAAGTCTTCTCATTACTGCACCAATAGCGTTTTTGTATTCATTGTGGTGTACATTTAATTTAAAAAAACGTTTGCAATGTATCATGCCTGTTGCTAAACCTGCTATGGCATTGTAGTTTTTCAATGGTACTTTAGCTGATGAGTGCAGGTTACAACCTATATTGTTGACATGCCTATGGCTTCCTTAGGAATAACTTTTATATTTATTTAAGAAATTTTAAATTATGTTTTATGTCATTTGGCAATATTCAGTCAATTCTGCTCCCTTCTTGTCATGGATAAAATTGGGTCTTGTCTGCCTTTAAGAAGGCAGCTTTATAAATTGGCACTTTAAACAGGCCATATATATTTACTAGTAAATATATATAATGCACACACACAACACAAAGCAAATAAATTTTGCAATGAAGGAACTGCTACTCTAAATGCAATGCATCATGTACAATTAGGAAATGCTTCTAGCTCCTAATTAATCAGCCAGTTTTAGTATATTTTAAAGTGAATTACTAACTCTCTGACACAACAAGATGTTGATATAATCGCAGTTGTTTGCTTCCAATATAGTATTTTCTAACTTCAAACAGAATGGCAACAACCAACTGTAGAATTAGGGACCATTTTTAATTGCCGGCGCAGGGCCAGCTGGGGAAGGGTCGCTCTATTTTGCATCCAGTAATGTTTGGCTGTTGTTCATTCAGCAGCTTCCATTCCTTGTAAGAGAACAATCCTGCCACACTCTGCAACTTTTGTAACTGGAACACCCAAGGAACCATGGCTACAAGGTGTATCAATCTGTATACAGAAACCTAAAGCCATGCAATAATGTTGATAGTTCAGAACAATAACATGGTAAGCAGTTTGATTATCGTTGTTCTAAGTTATTGTAAATCAGTTCTTAACAACTGCCCTTTCTTTGGATTAGTTAATTGTGTTTTTAGACAAGCACCATATGTTAAGCAACAGTTCAAATAAACGCCATTATCAGAGCAGTGAACTGTTGTTTAAAAGTGGTTGTTTGACGTCTCTTTGTATTTGCAGACCAGGAGAAAGAATCTCAAAATACTCTTTACCACTCAAAAGAAATCTGTGTATTCTTGGTAATAAAGTAGGGAAATCCTTAATAATAGAGTACTTAAAGGAAATTGTCAGGAGATACACAAAGAGCAAAACACCTGATTTATAAAATTAGGCAAAAGGTCGGTAATTCTTATTTTGAACTGTAACCTTTAATTCTATAGATTGAAATGCTTGTTGGAATCTTCTGCTTTGGCAGTAACTTTCTTTCTATAGCATGGCCTTCTTGCAAAGGTCTGAGTACAACAGTCAAGATAAGAATTCTTTATAAAAGATGAATACCCAGGTGATGTATATTGACCATGATGTGCAATGAAGTGACAAGATGGGAGCAGAATAAAAGAGCTTTGGATTTGAAGTGATTTTTTCATAAGTTATTTATTCCTTTTTTTCATTGTAAATATATTTATTTTATTGTGAAGCTAACAACATCTGGATTGTAACATGTACAGAATGTATGGTAGGAATGTATTCTCTTGTAGGAATGTAAATCTGTATGGAAAGGGGATGGAAGCCTGATTCAGAGAAAATGCATTGGGTTCTATTGAGGATATGCACGGTTCACATTAGTTTTCCCCCACACACACACACACTCTTTTCCAACATGGGTCTGGTTGTTTGAAATATGCAAAAAGTGTGGGTGAGGGAGACTTTAATACTCAAAATTAGTCCTAAAAATCAGACTCTTAATGCGTCAGTTCCTTTAAAGGGGCCTGCTCTTGCACCCTTTAAAGTCAGATGGAGTCGTGGATAGAAGCAGCAGCAAGTTCAGCATACCACCGCTGTTCCTTTAAGGGTTGATCTTGTAAATGCATGAGGAAGGGCAGGTCTATGCTACCGCTTAAGTCAATCTAACTTATGTCGTTCAGGGGTGTGAAAAAGCCTCCCCCCGGGCAACGCAAGTTTCGCTCTGTCCAGACCAGCACTATATCGGTGGGAGACACTCTCCCGCTGACGTAGCTTTGGCGTCTCACCGTGGTGGAGTAATTCTCATTGGGAGAGCGCTCTCCCGTCAGCAAAGCATGTCTTCACCAGACGCACTACAGCGGCGCAGTTGCATTGGTGCAGCTGCGCCGATACAGCGCTGCAGTGTAGACTTGCCCTAAATCTTTACTCATGCAAGCAGTCCCCGTGAAGTCTGTGGGGCTATATGAGTAAGAGTTTGCAGGGTGGTGCCCTTACTCCAGAAAGTGCAACAGAACTGACACTGCATTTGTGCAAACTGGTAAGATGCAGACAAAAAGTGGTAAATGCACTTTCCAAGTGCACCATGTCTTTTTGCATGGGTTTTGATTTTACTATTGCTTATTGGGCCTGATCAGGCAGTCCTTGCTCATACATAATTCGTGTAGTTCTCAGTGGGAATGTTGCCAGCAATACAGGATTGGGCCCCAATAACAGTCCCTGCTCAGAGTCCTAGTGGACTGTACATATCTGTATGCAAAGCAAGGAGAGATTCCTTTTAAAAGAAACTTCGAGGAGCAGTAAAGTATTACAAATTGAAGGCATCTGTCTATTTATGTTCCTCGCAGTGAGCTACAAAATAAGATGATCGAGACGCCACCTGAAATGCCCAGTGTGAGAATAAACTCTTAGCTTGTGCTGCAGCCATTGTAGTTTTCTTCCTGCTGTATGTTAATTGCCTTCAGTGTTGTGATTCCAAAGTTTACACATGCTTCAAATTGTAATGGTTCCTGCCTGAGAAATGGGTTCATTCACTCCGAAGAGGCGTGAACGTTGATTTAATTTTGAACAGATTTCGGCATCCTGCTCTTGTGAAAGTTGCTTTCAGTGCTTACGTTAATGAGTCTGAATGTTTCTCAGAAATTAGTTCATTTTAAGCTTCCCCTCCCCCCTCTTTCAGGAAATAGGCCTAATGCAAATTCTAAAATCCTTTTTTAAAAAAAACAAAAACTTTTTAGAGGGTTAACAATGTAATCCATGCTAGAATCTGTAAAGGCAGAGATTCTGGAAAAGGTGTATATATATGTAGTGTGACATGTTCAGTGCATGGTGGTTGAACAGGGCTTGTTATTGTCAAAAAGAAGGCTGTATTTTTTTTTCCCCCACAGACCTTAGCGCTGTGCCTTTTCTATGCAATATTACAGACATATACATTTGAACCCAGATTACTGTATTCACATGTAGGTATGGGCTGTAATCAAAACAATTGGACAAATGTACATGGAAATGAGCAGTCTTACTTTTGTAGTTTTATATTATACAATAAACAATTAAAAGATACAAAACTCTTGTCCCTTATTTTTATTTTCATGACCAAAATATTGTGTTAAAAGGGAATCCAGACAGGGCTTGGGAGACTTATTGACCGAGGAAGGGGGTTTGCATCCCAAGACTTCTCTATCCCCATTAGATTAGGGGTGGCCTCACGTAGTGTTGGATGGGACCGGTTGTGCGAGCGAGACACATGCATTCTATCCCCTAGCTCCTCTGTGGAGATTCCCCCGGAAAGGTAAATACAGCTTTGACTTGCATTGTCTGTGGAGCCCCCTGCATGGTAGGAGTTTCCTTGTAAGGGAGCTTCTCAGAGCAATCATGGCCTGTGGCAGTTGGAGCTACGCTTGATGAAGGGCGTGAGGGAACAGGACTGCCCAGGCACAGGGCCTCCACAGGGATAGATCTTGACTCCCATTAGTCGCCTCTGCAGGGTTGGGGGGGGGTGGCTCATTCCACAGGGGAGCAGACCCTGCACCCCAACAACAATAAGAGGACACCCCCTAGGGAGATTCTGCCCCTGGAGCACCCTCCAAATGGTTTGGCTGTGGGCAGGGTGGGCCAGCCCTGAGTTTAGTGTGGGAACAGTGTGGTCCTGGTTTTATGTCCTGCAGCATTAATCACCAAGTGTTAGATGTAGAATCAGTAGCTGCATTTGACTGGTGGGGCTGCGTCAGTTTACAGAGAGGAGGGAACAATCCTGCTCTCACTGGCACTGGGGCGAGCCCGGAGTAACCCTGGGGCCTTCTGTGGAGTTTCTCTGGATTTCAGCTGGTGCCGTTGAGAACAGAATCTGTCCCATTTCAAGGGACGGAAGGCACTTTAAATTACGACATTCAAAGCCAGCTGGAACCATTTGCTATATAATCCACTGCTGGATTTCAGATGTCGCCCTCTCATCCCTCTAGGTCAGCATTTCTCAAATGTGGCCACCAGGGACTTTTCTTGCAGCCACAGCCTCCTGGGCTGTGATTTTTTTGGGGGGGGCCCTCTCCCAATCCCTATTGCTCCTGGAAGTTGGTGTTGCTTGCTGGGGCTGCCAGCAGGGGTTGAGCCCTGCACCCTCCCAGAGAACAGGCAGCAGGTGAGTTCTCCATTTCCCCGGGGGGGTGAGGCCCAGGTTTTGGGCTTCAGCTGTGGGGTGGCAGGGGGGAAGGCTCTATCCGCGGGGCTTCAGGCTCTAGCCCTCAGCTCTGGCTGCACAGTGGCAGGTCTCAGGTTCCAGCCACATGGCTTTGGGCTCCATCCCTGGGCCCTGTCCCTCTGCCGCAGGGCTTTGGGCTGTGGCTGTGGGGTTTCAGGCTCCAGCCCCCGCTGCCTCCCCCACTCTCCTATCCCCCCCCCATCCAGGGCTTAATTTGTCCCCAAGCATGCTGGGCTGAGTAAGTCTGGTGTGAAAAGTGATACTTGTATGTTTGTTAATATCACTTTTCACACCAGACTTACTAGCTGGCAATAAAGGAATTACAATGATGTCTAGGTGCATATTTATTTGTTTTTCCTAAAGCTAATCAAGTGTTTTAGGAAAAAAATGGAGAGCAGCCACCAGCAAGAGTTGGTGGCCGCATTCTGAGGCCACTAAAAATTTTGTCCTCAAAACCCCAGCTCTAGGTGAGTGGTATTTACTTTCCAGGATAGCAGGAATGGGGAGGGCAAGGGCTTGTCTTTGCTCGAGCAGTTTTAAGCAATGAATCTTATTGAGCAGAATCTACATCAGGATTGGGTTTTGCTGTGGTCAGGTACATAGGGGTTGAATCATATCACCCTGGTTACCTTTGGCCTTGCATATTCACAGAGGTGGCGGTGGTCTCTTACCAATTCAGTCAGGGCCATAGGTTCAGACACTGGCGATGCAGCTTGAGTTGGGGATTCAAAACCACAGGAAAGCAGTGAGTTTTCCTGTCTTAACATGCCACAGACACCATCTCGACTACAGAGAACTGGCTCATGTGACCGGAATCACAGCCAGCAATGGCAGGGTACTGCATTTGGAACGCTTGTGACAGTGCTGCAGACCAGCTGCTCCTAAGGTCTGCGGCTCGGCAGTAGTAACAAGTGGCTGCAGGAATACAGGGCACAAGAAATGCTGAGGCCAGTGAGATGAGTGGGAGGCTTATGGACAGGCTGGTGAGGATGTAGCGGGGGAATTTGCTTTCCTATTTCTCTTAAGACCAGGAACCATTTAAATAAGGGGGAAATGTAACTGTACAATGATAAAGCAAACAATCCCCCCAAACTCTTCGATACCTGACCAGACGTGTAGTGCGTGCGCTCACTCTCCCTAGCACACCCATCTGCACTGTACACTCACTCTTGCACTTAAGGAATCTAATATTCCTAATCAAATATTAGGAATCATTAGCCTAATTACCTAACTGGAGCCTATTAGTAAAGGGGTGGGGATTTGGGTTTTTTAAGTAATACCAGTTCTCAGGGCCGGCGCTAACTTTTTTGCTGCCCCAAG